CAGAATTCCCCAGCCAGCCATGCTGGCTGGGGAATTCTGGGAGTTGAAGTCCCCCCATCTTCACGTTGCAGACGTTGAGAAACACTGCCTTAGTTTAACATTGACCATGCAACAGAAGCCCCACCTGTTTGATGCCTTAATCAAACAAATGATGACTTAATAATAATCAAATGATGACTTAATAATAATCAAATGAGGACTTAATGCCCCTCAAAACTTTTGCAAAGTTGGCTTTGTTTCGAATTGGAACCCGCTGTTGTACTTTTTGCTTGACACTGAAAGAAAAGAAACTTTAACTTCGGGTTTTGATGGTTGATATTCTTTACGGTTGTAGAAACACTTTGCATTAGTCTGGAGTAAGAGGCGAATATAGTATATATTTGTACCTGTACCAAAGAAAGTCAGAAATTATTCTTTTTTTTCCTTTTTCACTTTTTCTTTTCCGCACTTTAAATTTTGTTCTTTTCCTGATCTTTTTCTTTTTCAACCCTTTCGCCCCCCTCTTTCTTATATTTTATTTTTTGTGGAAACTCAATACAGTTCTTTTCAGGGAAAAAAGAAAGGACATAAAATTCTGCAAACTCTGGCCCGAGGAAATGTTTTTCTCCTTCCTTTCGCTTTCGGTTTTCCGTCCCTTCTTAGAAGCCATTTTAGCGGGGGATCCGGATCTCGATTTCTATTCTGATTTCCAAGCTGAATCTCCAGGCACAAACTGAGAAACGAACTCAAGAATACCCCCTTGCAGCCCAAAGCCTTACCAGAAAGCACATAGTCTGCCCCACTTTTCTCACTGATACGGATCAGGAAGGCCCCGGATTTATTCTCTTCGGACATCAGCCGAAGCACTGCTTCAGAACGGGAGATTTGCCCAAAGAACCATCTATGGGGACGGCAGAAGAAGAAGAAAAAATGGCAGGATGGGTCAGACCCTCGCCCACCTATTCTAAGGATCCCTTTGCTAAGGGGGATGAGCCCCAGCAGGGGCTGATGGGCTGGAGAACCCTGTATTCCTCCCCTCCAGAGCAGGCAGTTTCTCTGACAGATCTCTGTGCCCGCCGCTTCCACCGGAATGCAGCTTGGCTGGCTGGCTTGAGTTATCTGCAGCCTGGTCTCTACGTGTGGCAGTAATTTATTGATTTATTTACTTATCCAATGTATACGCCGCCCATCTCCCTATACAAGTGACTCTAGGTAGCTTATGCATAAAACATGATAAAAACAATAAAAAATCTTTCACACACACACACACAGAGTTGAAAGATGAGGGAAGCGTCATCAAATCGCCAACCACCCCCATGTGTAGCACAGGGTGGATTTTACAGCAGGGGAGTTGTGGGGCTGGGAGGAAAAATTGGGGGAACTAGTGTTTGGGGAGCACTTCTTGGAAAACAAGCTGCATGAAAAAAAAAATGCTCTGGAAAAGATGTTGGTAACGCTCAGAAGCTGGAGAAAAGATTCCCACGCTGGTGTGGGTTGGGAAACTTTGACCTCCCAGTGTTTTTCAGCCTTAGCAACTTGAAGATGTGTGGACTTCAACTCCCAGAATTCCCCAGCCAGCCTTGCTGG